AGCCCACATCCTTCCACTGCCTGACTCCTTTGATTTTATATTGTTCATTGGAGAAACAAAGGAAGAAGGTAATTGGGTTCTGCGGAATTCATGAGTAATTGAATAATTCTGCTGATGGTGGAACCGGCACTAGAGAGAGCTCCATATCTGGTCAGGGTTCTGGCTGTGACCAGGAAGTTCTTGGTGTCTTCCTTGCTTAACCTTAGAGCCGGTGAACTCTGGCACCCCAACCTCATTCTTACCCATTCAAACCAAGGAAGCAACCATTTTTTAGGATGTGGAAAGCCTATAGCTCTGGAAGGCTGGAAGGTACAGGCTGGGGGGTCCCATTGCACTGGGTCCAAGCCCCACCCTTTTGTTACCAGCCGTGTGATTGTGGGCAGTTCCTGTCCTTTTTCCCTTGCACCTTGAGGTCTGCATCTATAAAACAGGATGAGAAGACCTCACAGAGTTGCTGTGGAGATTATCATTCACCAGTTCATCCATTCCATGAGCATCTGAGACCTGCTGTTCGCCATTCGTAGTTCTGAGTGGCGAGGAGATGAACATGAACGAAGCCTGTCCCTCCAGAGGCTGACACATCCTAGTGAAGAGAGAGGGCTGCCACGGAGCGGGTGTGTGGTAGGCATGACGTTGGCAAGACCACAGATCCAGGAGGGCCTCAGAGTCACCGCCTGGGCTTTGGGTTTTGTGCTACTTGATATGTGGAGCCATAGGAGGGTTTCAACAAGAGGAATGACCCAGCTGCCTTACATTTCAAAATACTACTCTGGCTGCCAAGCTGGAGATAGACTTTAGGGGGGCCAGGATGAAAACAGGTAGAATAATGAGGTCATCTTGGTAACATAGGTGAGAGGCGGTGGTGGCTTGAACTAGAATGACAGCAGCACGGGTGCAGGAAGAGGTTATATGTTGAAGGTAACCAGGAGAACTCGCTGATGAGGTAAGGTGTGGTGTTGGAAGGAAACAGAGGAGTCAAAAGCAAGTCCCAATTTTTGGCCAAGGCAACTCGAAGCAGGGATTTGCTGTAGGGAAAACTCCAGTCCAAGCTGGGACAGAGGGAAGTTGAGAGTTCATTTTCTGGGCATGTAAATTTAAGACGTCTATTAGACACCATGTGGAAATGTCAGGAGTGCCCTGGGGCTCTGTGTTGTGGGGGTGGGAGAGGCACTCAGCTAAGAAGGCTGATGGGGGAGGTGGGAGATGGCAGAGGAGAGTGACGGCAAGTGTCGCTGCAGCTGCACGACTCAAGTGGCCACAGCGCCCAGGACAGCCTGTGCGGTGGATGTCTGATGCAGGCCTCTCCTCATCCCTCTCTTTTCATGTCAGATGGCAGATAACCTCACCCAAATATGTGCCATAGCCAACCTCAACGATCCTGAAAGCCTTACTTGGAGAAATGCTTTTTAGATCACTCCGTTTTAAATGTGCTAAAGACAAACTTAGGCCCTCCTGGTAAGACTGGACTCATCCTGCTTAAAATCGCATGACTTCTGAACTGGGTCTCCGTATGTATCGTGTCTTCAGAACATAAAAACAGAAATTCGTAAACTTTCAGTGCTGTGTTGACCTATGAAGAAGGAAGAAAATAAGAAGACAAGCGTTTAAAAAGGCTTATTATGTTCTAGACGCGAAGCCTTCACATGCATTCATTGATTATGTACTTACTTACTTATGTTTTAGAGGCCGAGTCTCCCTCTGTCTCCCAGGCTGGAGTGTAGTGGTATGATCATAGCTCACTGCACCCTCAAACTCCTGGACTCAAAGGATCCTCCTGCTTCAGCCTCCTGAGCAGCTAGGTCTACAGACATGTGCCACCATGCTTGACTAATTTTTTAATTTTTTTATAGAGACAGGGTATTGCTATGTTGCCCAGACTGTCTCAGGCTCCTGGCCTCAAGGGATCCTCCTGCCTCAGCCTCCAGAAGGGTTGGAATTACTGGAGGCATGAGCCACCACACCTGGCCTGTTTGTTTCTTATTACATACATTTGTATTTATTTTACAGAAAATGTTCCTCAACTTAGAATGGGGCCACATCCCAATAAGTCCATTACAACTTGAAAATATTGCAAGTCAGAAAATAAAGGAAACATTAAGTAAAAAATGCACTTAACAGCAGAGTCTCGCTGTTGTTGCCTGGGCTGGAGTGCAATGGCGCAACCTTGGCTCACTGTAACCTCTGCCTCGTGGGTTCCAGCAATTTCCTGCCTCAGCCTCCTGAATAGCTGAGATTACAGGCACCCGCCACCATACCTAGCTAATTTTTTGTATTTGTAGTAGAGACGGGGTTTCACCTTGTTGGCCAGGCTGGTCTTGAACTCCTGACCTCGGGAGATCCACCCACCTCGGCCTACCTTAGGTATACTCAGAATACTCACATTATCTTGGATTTGGACAAAACCATCTGGCCACGCAGCACGCTGTGGAGATGGGTCGTTCCTCTTATGGCTGCATGGCTTGTGGCAATCTGGGAGGCGCGGCTCACTGCTTCCATGCAGCGTCGCAGGGGAGCTGGCACCACACACCACCAGCCCAGGAGAAGAGCAGAACTCACCATTCCATGCACAGGCTCTCCTGAATCCCTGTGGCTTTCGCAACATCTTAAATGTGGCAAAAATCTTACACTGAGCCATTATAAGTCGGGGACTGTCTGTCTGTATGGATAATGGAACCAGCCAAAAACCAAGAAACTAGCACCAGGGTGGTGAATACTCAAAGCCTGAGTATTCCTTGGTTTTTGGCTGGTTCCATTATCTCCAATGTAATAAGTAAATGGAGCCCAGCAAGTCCCCTGTGTCTGTGTAGGATTTCCATTTTATAAATGCTGACCCAACATTCTTATGCAAGCCCCAGATGGAGTTTGGAAGTGTGATACTGACCAAGTTTTATTCTTGTCAATGAAGGTCATGTTCAGAAAGTTGTATTTCACTTCGTTTACAAAGCCCTCTATTATGCAGAAAGCATTTAGCCTAAACATAACCCTGCGAAGCCGGCAGATTTGTGATAGGAACCCAATGTCATTTCCAACAGTAGGCATCTGCTGGCCCCTCTTCCCCTCTGGGCACTGGACCGAGCTGTGCTGCCTTCGTTCCTGGCTATGGGCAATGCGCCAAACTCTTCCTATCAAGTAAAAGTTGAGAAAGTGGGCCCTTTATAGTTGGAAATGAAATGACTTTACATACATCTAAGCGTTTTATTTGCTGTGGGCGAAATGGATGTGATGCCGAGGATTGGGAGGTGGGTGATAGTTGGAGGGGGGCAAGCCTGGAGGATCTCACCGGAGAAACAGATCAGTCCAAGCCTACACCAAGACAGTTCAGTTGTCACAGCAAGACACACACTGGTGGTGCCGGGTACCTGCCTGTCCCTCAAACCAGAACTCAAACCAAAATGATTTTAGAAACGTAAGTGGAGTATAACTCTTATTTTCTTTTAGAAATTGCTTTTTGAGCTGCAGTGTTTTTCTAGCCTGGTATTGAAAAATTCTTGCAGATAGGCTCATAAAGTTTTGAGCTGGTAAACATTGTAACTAGCCTGTAAAATTTCCTTTTTTCCTTTCTCCATAGTGGAGACAGAGCAGTAACCTGAGTGTTCCTCCTGTGACTTGCTTTACACTGTTAAAACAAGGTTGCCCTTACCCATAACGTTTCTCTAAAGTACCTTCAGCCTGGCGTAATTACTCGGTCACATTCTCCTTGGAGTCATACTAAATCGTGTGTTGGGGAATGAATGTGTGGACTGTATATTACCTTGCCTACCTGCGGTATAAGGTTTTTAATGGCTATATTGATTTCTGATTCATTTTTGTCCTTCCTTAGCTCATTACTTGCACATACTAGGAGCTCAATAAATATCATAGTGCTTGTACCTCTTGTATTGATCACATTATTCAGTGATAATTATAAAAGGAAAATGTATAATAGCAACTAAAAGTGTGATTTCATTGAGTTTTTTAAAATTCTATTTTTCTTTATTTTAATTATCCTCTTTATTTGAAATGTGTTGTTTTACATGGATGCTATTTTTAAGTTAGGCTATTTTCCAATGTGCTGCAACAAGACTTATGGAAATTAAATTACCTTTTACTTTTAGTCAACTACATACAAGAGAATTGCCTGGTATTTGTGGGCAGAGTGTGACTTTAATAGACTCCTTTTTTGTTTTGTTTTGTTTTTTTTTTTTTGAGACAGTCTTGCTGTTGCTGGCCAGGCTGGGGTGCAATGGCACGATCTCAGCTTACTGCAACCTCCACCTCCGGGGTTCCAGCAATTTCCTGCCTCAGCCTCCCGAGTAGCTGAGATTACAGGCGACTGCCACCACACCTGGCTAAGTAGAGACGGGGTTTTGCCATGTTGGTCAGGCTGGTCTTGAATCCCTGACCTCAGGTGATCCACCCACCCAGGCCTCCCAAAGTGCTGGGAGCCACTGTGCCCAGCCAATAGACTCCTTTCTAATACTTTAAAATTACTTGGGAAAATATATGATTTGGTGACTTTCGATACATTTATTTTTACCTCTTGATTTGAGTAGAGAGCCACATGTCCTGGAAATTCCATGAAGTGAATAAAAACTCTATAGCAAAAATGTGCTTATACATTTTCAAAAGCCAGGATTATTCTTTTTTTTTTTCCTGTAATATTTCTATTTATTTTTTAAGTTTTGCTTTAGGTTCACGGGTACATGTGCAGGTTTGGGGTTATATAGGTAAACTGTGTGTGACGGGGGTTTGGGGTATGAAATATTTCGTCACCCAGGTACTAAGCACAGCACCCGGCAGGTATTCTTTCGCTCCTCGCCCTCCTGCCTCTCTCCTCCCTCAGGTGGACCCTTGTGTCTGCTGTTCTCTCTTTGCGACCTTGCGTACTCCATGTTTATCCCGCACTTATAAGTGAGGATTATTCTTAATAAAAATCAGCCTTTAGGTTTTAAGTTATAAGATCTCTGTGTATGCTGACATTTTAATAGAGATGATCTGGTTTTGTTTTTTGTACACAATAGTACAGGGAAACCCAAACATGAGTGGTTTCTCCAGAAAGATTCCGAAGGGGACACATCTTCACTTATCAACTGGCCTTCCAGGTACCCGCACGCTGGCCCCCCGGGGCCTGTGTTCACGAGTGCTGCTGCTTCCTGCCGTGCCGTTCCACACATCAGCTAACGCCCACTCTCCTCCTGCCCTCTTTAATCCCAGTGCACTTGAAAATCATGTGGAAGTTACTTTCTAATCATTTGCTTTTCTCCTCCACATGCCCTAATCCATGCTAATAGTATCTCTTCTTCCTCCTCTTTTTCCCTCTTTCTTGATTGACAAGCCTTTCACTTCACCTCTTGCTTTTTCCTTCTCACCAACTCACCTAGGGCTGGCCAGTGGGGGGCGGTAGCGAGCACCCATCCAGGCCCTGGGCTGCTCTCCTGAGCTGGACTCCCCAGGCCGGGTCCCTCCTGCTCAGCTCCCCGCTGCTCCCAGCCCTTCCTGCCTCCTTGTTTCATATCTCCTCATCTCTAAACCAGTACTTAATTTTCAACGGTTAATTTAGGTCATGTGGTTTTAAAAGCAAACAAAACCCCCTATCCTTTCATTTTTAAGACTGGGGGCAGGGAGAGGCGGAAGGAGTCAGAATGAGTAAGTCATGGAAGGACAAAGCTCCCCACAGTTTCTAAGAGTCACTTTGTTCTCCTCTGAGGACAACATTCAGATTGTCTCTGATCATAAGCGCGCATTCCACAGGAGAACTGGAACCGCACTCCAGTCTCCTTTTGATTAACAAAGGTTTTAAGTGAAAACCGCCAACACGGGCTCGTCTCTGGGAAAAATAGCAACTCAGAATGTTTTCTTTTCCTGAGTTGTTCTCAGTCACTACCTATACGTCTGTCTATGTGGATTTTCCTTTAATGACGCATGTATGGATACTACACCTATTATGTTAAAAATATATAGGAGGCCTGGTGCAGTGGCTCACGCCTGTAATCCCAGCACTTTGGGAGGCTGAGGCGGACAGATCACGAAGTCAGGAGATCGAGACCATCCTGGCTAACACGGTGACACCCAACCTCTACTAAAAATACAAAAATTAGCCAGGCGTGGTGGCACGTGTCTATAGTTCCAACTACTCGGGAGGCTGAGGCAAGAGAACTGCTTGAACCCGGGAGGCGGAAGCTGCAGTTAGCTGAGATCGCACCACTGCAGTCCAGCCTGGGCCACAGAGTGAGACTCCATCTAAAAAAAAATATATATATAAAAAAAAATTATTAAAATATATATATATAAAACACACACACACACACACATATATGAGTTTGTATCAAATTAGGAGTTGCACTTGTCATTAAAAAAACTAATCTTTTTCTATACAGTGCACATCATAAATACTTTGCCAGTTAAGCTTAAGTAAGTAAAGGTTCTGCATTCCTCTTCCCCCAAGAAATCCCTTTTCCTACTCTAAAAGCGCTCTTTAAAGCTTAGCCCTAGTCAGTGTTCCATTCTCAAGTAGTTGGAATTGTATCTCCTCTTTCACCATATGGTAAAAATAAGAACCAGTTAACAGTATGCAATATTTACTCTCTGGTAAGCACCAAGCCATGTGCTTTGCAAACGTCACATTACATTATGTCACTATTATTTCCATTTAAAAGGTAAAGCAGCTGAGGCTTCCTAAGGGCAGGTGAGTTGCCCAACACCGCACAGCTGGACCTGGCAGAGCAGGATCTGAGCAGAGGTTCCCACCCCACAGCCAGAGCTCTTGGTTACTTTGTTTTGCGGTGATAGAAAAGGTCTGTAGATTTTGAAAAGGGTGTCAATTTTGCTCTCAGATAATTTGAATAACTCTAGAAACAACTAGAGCAATCTCTCTTTCTTATTTTATTTTATTTTTGTGTTTTAGGACAGAGTCTATCTTTATTGCCCAGGAGGAGTGCAGTGGTACAATCATAGCTCACTGCAGCCTCAAACTCCTGGATTCAAGTGGTCCTCCTGCCTCAATCTCCCAAGTAGCTGGGACTACAGGCACAAGCCACTGCACCTAGCTATTGTTTTTTACTTTTGTAGAGATAATATCTCACTATTGTTGCCCAAACTGCTCTCCAACTCCTGGCCTCAAATGATCCTCCTGCCCAGGCCTCCCAAAAGGTTGGGATTACAGGCATGAGCCAAATAACAGCAGGAAGAGGGGACGATGGTGGGAAATGTTCACTTCATGAATTATTTCAGCAGATATCTTGTCTCTAACACTCTTTTGGTGCTAGAATTATTCATAATGATGCCCAAACTGGCGGCATGCCTTATGAATGAATGAAGGAATATGCTCTGCATTGCATGAAAAAAGCTTGTGAATGTCTAATTGAGTGCTTTAAAAGAGAGGTGATTGTTATATCTTGAACTAAAAAAAAAAAAACAAAAACGCTTAAATAATGGTGAGTGCTCTTACATTTTCAGGAGACAATGAAATTACGTTAGGTCAATAGGTGTCTGTATGCCAGGAACCCTCCGCACAGCCCGTGTTCTGGGCCTGCGCATGAGGAAAGCTTCCTGATTCAAGGCACCAGCCTCGTTGTGCCCTAGTGCATGCTGGTGGTGTGTATTAATGCAATTTTCTCTGGCTTCTGGGTATTTATTTGGTCAGAAGGGACCCATTCTCCCCCAGGACAGCATCTGACCCCTGTCAGCTTTTACAAGGGGTAGAGTGAGTTTTGCGCCCCCGGGCATACCTATGCAAATTGGAAACTCAACTCAGATCACCTGACAAGTAGTTGGTTTCTCACATTAGACACCAAGATGCTTTTTCACAGGTTATGCTCTCTTGGGGCCGCGTTCCATTCACTGGCGCTCTGTGATCTGTGCATGCTTCCCTGCTATGAAGCCAGCCATTATTGCACTTTGCAACTTAAATCCTTTTTCTTTCTTAAAGAGTTAAAGTTAGAGAAAAATTGGTGAAAGAGGAAAGTGCTCGAAACAGCCCTGAACTCGCCTCAGAGTCCGTAAGTCAGAGGAGACACCGGCCCGCGCCAGTCCATTATCTGCCGTTTCAGTCCGAGCACTCGGCCTTTGATAGGGTCCCCAGCAAGGCAGCAGGCTCTGCACGACAGCCAATCCGTGGCTACGTGCAACCCGCAGATCCCGGCCACACTGCCAAGATGGTGACGGCAGAACCCCCAGAACATGTATCTGAGTGCAGCTGGGTACCGTCAGCCACCCAGAGTGTCCCCAAACCTCCCACCTTGAAGGTTCTAGAAGGTGAGAGAAGGGAGAGCCCAGTTCTCCATATCTGTGAGTCAAAAGCAGAAGAAGAACAAGAAGAAGAAGGAGAAGAAAAAGAAGAAGAAGATGTGCTCTTCACTGAAGCTCTCGAGCAAAGCAAGAAAACCCTACTGGCTTTGGAGGGTGATGAGCTTGCGAGAAGCCTGGAAGATCCCTCTGGAAATGAGGACTTTGGTAAGCCTGTTGTGAGCACAGTCACCTTAGAGCATCAGAAGGAACTGGAAGGCATGGCGCGCCCACCTCAAGCTCAGCACCAGCCCACTGAGAGGACAGGCAGGAGTGAGATGGTTCTCTACGTTCAAAGTGAGCCCGTGTCCCAAGATGCCAAACCATCCAGTCACAACAAGGAAGACTTGATGAAAAAGCGCAAGGTCCGTGTCCGCTCCCTGTCAGATTTCACAGGCCCCCCTCACCTCCAGGCCTGGAAGTGTAAGGACCCTGCTTCCAGGAGAGAGTCGGAGCTGCCCAGCCCCAAGGCTGAAGGGCCCTATGGGGAGTTCGGCGTGCTGGACACAAAGGTCTCTGTCGCCCAGCTCCGAAGTATGTTCCTGGCATCTGCCAACGCCAGCAGGACACCTGAACTGTAGGTGATGCTTCACATGCCCTCCAGCTGTGTCACTTGCACGTCCCTGGCAGAATGACTCACTCCTCAACTCGTGTTGTGTTCTGCATTGAATCATATTAGCTTAGCTCACAGGTGTGTGCAGGGCAACTGTGCAGAAAATGGCTCAAAAACTACCACTCCGCTTCTGCCTACTAATGGGGAATAGTGGACTGGGTCTCCGGAATGCCCCCTTCCTTAGGTGCATGGTAGAGGCATGAAGAGGGTTTTGGCGGTGTCTGTGCCTTGACTCAACGGAGATGCATAAACCTTTGCTGTCTTCTCTTTCTCTGTCTTCGTTTGCCTTCCGTGTACTCTCTGCCCTTTGATCCTAAAAGCAAATCACGGGTGGAGAGGTCGGCCGAAGGACCTGGCTTGCCCACCAGTGTGGAACGGGAGAGAGGGTCCCGGAAACCAAGACGCTATTTTTCTCCTGGTGAAAGTAGAAAAACTTCCGAGAGATTTAGAACCCAACCTATAACTTCAGCAGAACGAAAGGAATCGGATAGGTAGGCATGCGTGTGTGCCATTTCCTAGTCCAGGAACGTGACGCGACACAGGAGTGCCACACACTGATGGCCTTCGTGCTATTTATATAGGATGCTGGCCATTCCATGATTCTTCCATCTAATCTGTAAGCGTTAGGTATTTGGCTTATTTTAAAGCGTTTTTAAAGAATGTTGTCCTTTACAGTGGTATTGTGATACATACACAATTTTACATTGCACATCTTCAGATGATAAGAAGAAATATTGTTTCTCTTCATTTAATGTTTTTAATGTTTTTTACCCCCTTGTTAAATTAGACTCCAGATTGCACATTCACCCGATTTTACAGTGAAAGTCACTGCGGAAGTTTCTATTCATTTTATAAATGTCCGTCTACTTGTTGTATTTGCTTTACACTGAAGTGTCATACTCTGTTGTGTAGAACTGAGAAGGTTTGTGCAAATGTTGTCCTCGGTGATGTATAGTAAGTTGCACGTGTGCCTGGTCTCCCCACAAGGCGTGTCCTTGGCTGGGATTGTGTGCACACACGCTCCACAGTGTCACTTCACAACTGTGTGTGTGTTTTCACAACTAGAATTGCTACCAGGAGGTTATCTCTTCAAAGAATTTAATTGCATTTTCAGTTTGACTTTTAATATAATGTTTTATTTCGATCTTCTGCTCCCACCTGCTAATTATGATGATTATTTGCTACTGTCTTTCCCAGGTGCACGTCACAGTCAGAAACGCCAACTATTGACGGCAAGTACCTTTTCCCCGTTTCTTCCCCTTCTTCGTTACCTCATCTAGACGGGATTTAGTAATACAATTTATGGCTTTTTGAGAGAATAAGATGATACAGCATATCAATGTCTGTCTTTGCTGCAGGCTTTCTTTCTGTGAATAAAATGAAACCCAGTTGCAATTTTCAGATGAGCTTTCTCTTCTTTTTGAGAGCAGTTAGAGAATCATGCAGTGACCAATAGAAAAACAGCTAATTCAAACCAAAGAGGCAGGTTCTTCTTGCTGCTGCTACTGTTTAAAAATAAGGCCAGGTGTGGTAGCTCATGCCTGTAATCCCAGCATTTTGGGAGACCAAGGTGGGCAGATCACGAGGTCAGGAGTTCGAGACCAGCCTGACCAACATGGTGAAACCCTGTCTCTACTACAAATACAAAAGAGCTGGACGTGGAGGCGTGCGCCTGTAATCCCAGCTACTCAGGAGGCTGAGACAGGAGAATCACTTGAACCCAGGACGCAGAGGTTGCAGTGAGCCGAGATTGTGCCACTGCACTCCAGCCTGGGTGACAGAGCAAGACTCCATCTCAAAATAAATAAATAAAAGTAAGTAAAATAAAAAAATGAAAGAATCCCCTCCATAAACATATTCATGAAATCTCGATTGGACAAACGTTAGAGTAGCAATCCCTGGCCAGCGTTTGCCTTCGTTTGGCTTGGTTTGAATGCCAAGGGAAATTAGCACCTTTTCACTGAGCAGAAAGAATGGGCTCCCTGCAAGGGGAAACTACCAACAATTATTATTTTTGTGCACCTATTCTTATATTCAGAGATTTCCAAGTCACCCCTGGAAGACTTTTTGGAGACGTACCTTTTCTAATAATGTCCAGTTTTTAATTTGTGACTTTTTGCAGATGAAGAAAAAGTAGATGAACGAGCCAAGCTGAGCGTCGCCGCCAAGAGGCTGCTTTTCAGGGTAAGCTGTTCTATGTGCTTGAATAGAGATGATTACTGGGGGCAGTAATCTCAGCTACTTGAGAGAGAACAAGGCAGGAGGATCACTTGAGACCAGGAGTTCGAGACCAGCCTGGGCAACATAGTGAGACCCTGTCTCAAAAAAATAAAAATTGTAAGCCTTAGGGAGGGAGAATCTTGTGGACCCAGCCTGCTTCATGCACCTCTGGGCATGCTAAGGCCTCCCAGCTCTGGCCCACCTGTGTTCTCTTCCTAGTCAGTTTTTGGCTGGTTGTGGCCACCTCATGGACACAGCATGAGTATACAGTTCTGACAATGACGCAAGGCTCTCATTAGAGACCCCTCCTGTAGGTCCTGTAGGAGAACAAAGTAAAGACTTTTTACTACACCCATTTTCTTTCCTTGAATTTCTTTTTCATTTTTAAATTTTTTTTAGAGATAGGGTCTTACTCTGTCACTCAGGCTGGAGTGCAGTGACGTGATCATAGTTCACGGCAGCCTCAACCTCCCAGGCTTAAGTGATATTCCCACCTCAGCCTCCCAAGCAGCTGGGACTACACACCTGTGCCAGTATGCCTGGATAACTTATGCATTTTTTTGTGGAGATGGGTACTCACTTTCTTGCCCAGGCTGATCTTGAACTCCTGGCCTCCAGCAATCTTCCTTTGGCCTCCCAAAGTGCTGGGATTATAGGCATGAGCCACCATGTGTAGCTCTTTCTTTGAATTTTTAAGGGTTCCACAATGTTTCTAATCTTAGGAGATGGAAAAATCTTTTGATGAACAAAATGTTCCAAAGCAACGCTCAAGAAACGCGGCTGTGGAACAGAGGCTCCGCCGTCTGCAGGACAGATCCCTCACGCAGCCCATCACCACTGAGGAGGTAGTCATCGCGGCCACGTAAGTGCCCACAGGACTTCTCAGGCTTGGCTCTAATGTCTTTTTTTTTTTTTTTTTTAATACATTTAAAGAATGTTCAATGAAAATGAGGCGTTGGGGAGGTGGTTTAGCTAGAAGCCACAGAGAAGTTAGTGCTAAGAGATTTTGTTTACTGTGGTCTCCCTAAACTTTGTAATGGGATGTGTTATCTATTGTATCTCCTGGAAAAACTTGAAAGGAGTTTTTGTTCTATTTTGTTTCTGTCTCTGCATATTGTTGTTTAAAATATCGCTTTGACAATGGAAAATAGAAACATGAAACTTGGTGGAGTGCTGTGATGAAACCCCAGCTTCCAAAGTCACCCACTCCTGGTGGGACATGCTCAGCCCGTATCCCATTCGTTTCCCCTTTCCTCCTGCTCTATTTTCAAGTAAACACTAGAGGTCTTATTATTTCATCCATAAATATCCAGTACACACTTTTTTTTTCTTGAGACAGAGTCTCACTCTGTCACCCAGGCTGGAGTGCAGTGGCGAGATCTTGGCTCACTGCAGCCTCTGCCTCCTGGGTTTAAGCGATTCTCCTGCCTTAGCCTCCTTAGCAGCTAGAACTACAGGTGTGTGCCACCACACCCACCTATTTTTTTGTATTTTTAGTAGAGATGGGGTTTCACCATATTGGTCATGCTGGTATCAAACTCCTGACCTTGTGATCTACCTGCCTTGGACTCCCAAAGTGCTGGGATTACAGGCGTGAGCCACCGTGTCTGGCCTCCCCAGTACACATCTCAGATAAGGGTTTGTTTTGTTTTTAATAGCCAGAAATTTCTTTTCTTTTTCTTTTCTTTTTTTTTTTTTTTTTTTTTTGAGACAGAGTCTTACTCTGTCACTCAGGCTGGAGTACAGTGGCACAATCTCAGCTCACTGTAACCTCCACCTCCCAGGTTCGAGTGATTCTCCAGCCTCTGCCTCCCGAGTAACTGGGATTACAGGCGCATGCCAATATACTCTGCTAATTTTTGTATTTTTAGTAGAGATGGCATTTCACCATGTTGGCCAAGCTGGTCTCGAATTCCTAACCTCAGGTGATCTGCCTGCCTTACCCTCCCAAAGTGCTAGAATTAATTGCCAGAAATTCCAAAAAAATACATAGCTGTTTGATAACTTTCCAAACAACAGGAGATTTGTTTTGAGTAACATGTTTCAATATACTCAGAATTAATTTCCCAGAATAGTTCATTCAGAGATAATTGCTTCAGTGAAGTGAAAAAGTTTATTATTTTGGGTTTTTTTGAGGCAGTGTCTCACTCTGTCACTCAGGCTGGAGTGCAGTGAGCAATCTTGGATCACTGCAGCCTCGACCTCCTGGGCTCAACTGATCTTTCAACCTCAGTCTCCCAAGTAGCTGGGACTACAGGCAACACCACCATACCTGGATAATTTTTGTATTTTTTGTAGAGATGTTTCCCAGGCTAGTCTTGAACTCCTGGGCTCAAGCGGTCGTCCCACCTCAGCGTCCCAAAGTGCTAGAAATACAGGCCGGACATTGATACTTTTAAAAAGTAGATTGAGGCCGGGTGCAGTGGCTCATGCCTGTAATCCCAGCACTTTGGGAGGCTCAAGTGGGCAGATTGCCTGAGGTTAGGAGTTCGAGACCAGCCTGGCCAGCATGGCGTAGCCACATCTCTACTAAAAATACAAAAATAAAAAAATTAGCTGGGCATGGTGGCATACACCTATAAACCCAGCTACTTGGGAGGCTGAGGCCAGAGAATTGCTTGAACCAGGGAGGTGGAGGCTGCAGTGAGCTGAGATTGTACCACTGCATTCCAGCCTGGTCGACAGAGTAAGACTCTGCCCCCCTCCCCAAAAAAAATAGATTGAAAGCAATATTCTAAAACAGTGACATAGTCTACTGATTTTTGGATGGCTAATATTTGCTTTTTTGCATTATTATTATGTTTTTACACCAAGACATGTATTCTCAAGACAGAGTAAATCCTTTCCCAGCTCTGAACACCTATTCTTATTGCTTTGGGTAGCCACTGTCTCTTATTTCCTGAGTTTGTAATTGCTTTTCAAGTTCTTTTATGATTTTCCTCCCCGAAAAGTAATTAGCAAAGAATTCCGTTAAAATTTTTGATTTAACGTTTCTGAGTTTAAAACTATGCTGTCCTTAATGCTTCTTTTCTTCTCTCTCCTTATGAATGTTTCCTCTTTGGCAATTGCTTGTAAAGTGAACCTATCCCCGCTTCGTGTTCTGAGGGCACCCACCCTGTAATGGCGAGACTTCCTAGCCCCACTGTAGCTAGGACCGCTGTGCAGCCTGCCAGGTACTGGACAGATACGGATGCATGCGGCACCCGGGGCACAGGTGCCAGCCAGCAGGTGCATCGCAAAGTCTTGAATGTCTGTTGTTGGTTTGACAAACAAGTCAGTGCCGTGGGTTGTTCCGGAATACGTGACATTTTGTTTGTCATAGCGCAAGGTGCTGATAACTACATGCTGGCGTGCATGGGAAAACCTTTCGTCTCTCTGCGTATGTTATGTGTTAGAACTAGGATCACACTAACTCACGCACCCAGTTGCTTTGTTTCTGTTTTTCATAATGTCATCCCTCAAAAGTTTTGTTCTTCATCTAAAATACTGTTATAGCACTTCATAAAGATTAACAGAACAATGGGATATTGGCCGGGCACGGTGGCTCCCGCCTGTAATTCCAGCATTTTGGGAAGCCGAGGTGGGCAGATCACAAGGTCAGGAGATCAAGACCGTCCTGGCCAACATGGTGAAACTCTGTCTCTACTAAAAATACAAAAATTAGCTGGGTGTGGTAGCCTGTACCTACAATCTCAGCTACTTGGGAGGCTGAGGCAGGAGAATCACTTGAACCCAGGAGGCAGAGGTTGCAGTGAGCTGAGATTGCATCACTGCACTCCAGCCTGGCAACAGAGCAAAACTCCATCAAAAGAAATAAAGAGAGAAAGAGACAGAGAGAGAGAGAGGAGAAAAGCAAAGCAAAGCAAAGCAAAGAAAGAAAGAAAGAAAGAAAGAAAAACAGAAGAGAAGAGCAAAGAAAAGAAAAATAATGGGACATTATTATGATAAGACCCAGTCTTTTTCAAACACCTGTACACACAAATACATGTTGAAAACAATCCTCCCTCTTTCTAATATATAGAGAGATCATGCCATTTTATTTGGGAACTGGGAAAATAACAATTTATAGTGTCTAAACGTAGATGTTTTACTATTGTGTTTTGGATTTTGGGGCTTTAAAATTATGTCCTTACACCAGGTCACATCCCTTCATTTTACTGTTATATGAGCCAAAACACAAAAGCTAAAAATAATGGCAGTGCAGGGATGAAGCTGGCATACCCACAGCAGGGCTCTCCCGGGGAAGTGGGTTTCCCTGCCCTCCTGGTTACTGCACGAGGTCCGCGGAGGACTCTGAGGCTTAGGTGGCTTTTTTGTCACCAGCCTCACTGTGGAGGAACACGGAGGCTGGCTGCTGTTTGGCCTGAGACAGCTGTGCGTTGGGGACTCGCTGGAGTCAAAGCAGAATATCTCCCTTACTAGATCTGAGAATTGGATCGGTCAGGGGCAGGAGGTATGTTCCATTAAAAACCTCTCAAGATTCACAGTGACTGTGAAGACTTCAGGCTTTCCTTCTCTTCAGCTGGAAGTTGGAGGGAGTTATTTGTTTATTAACTTATTATGTATTTATTTATTTTCGAGACAGAGTCTTGCTCTGTCACCCAGGATTGATCACTGCTAACTGCAGCCTCCACCTCCCAAGCTCAAGCAATTCTCCCACCTCAGCCCCCCAAGTAGCTGGGACCACAGGTGCACACCAGCAAGCCTGGCTAATTTTTATATTTCTGGTAGAGATGGGGTTTCACATTGTTGCCCCGGCTGGTCTCCAGCTCCTAAATTCAAGTGATCCTCTTGCCTTGGCCTTCCATAGATGTGAGCCACTGTACCCAGCCAGTGGGAGGGATTTATAATCCACTGACATTTTCTTTATTCCTTTGGTTACTGGAAATTGCAGATTTAAGTACCTTTTAGAAAACTGGTAGGAACCTATGAGAGTAAACTCTAAGCTGAAGCAGTGACTCTTTAAAAATTAAGCCATTTGTCTTTAGCAAGTGACAATCAAGACCTTCTGTTATTATGTAGTTGACAGAAGACCATATTGTTTCCTAATTGTTTAGAATGAAAGACCACCTTCAGAACACATCTTCAGATGATGTCTAAATGCACCGTAGGTAATGCTGTGCAACTCCCTTTCATTCTGTTTATTGTGATACTAACAATACCACCTCTCTGTCTGAGATAAGGTGTAGCCAAGCTGACTTCAGTGTCTCAAATAGGAAATTCGTTTTGTAGAAATAATTCAGAGCTAAAAGTCTACTGTTCGTAGAAGTGGCGACGCTAAGTGTCCTGTGCCGACTCTGTGTGTTGAATAGCTGAGCGGCTGCCTGCCTCTGTCCTAGATGTGATTAGGCCAAAAGAAGCTCTTTGCAAAACAAAGTGACACTTGGCAGAAAGTTAACATGGAAACTTAGCGGTGGGCTTTTGTATGTTGGTATCTATGTTGCTGACATTTTTTTTTTTTCAGATTACAGGCTTCTGCTCACCAAAAGGCTTTAGCCAAAGACCAGACAAATGAGGGCAAAGAGCTGGCTGAGCAAGGAGAACCTGATTCCTCCACTCTAAGCTTAGCTGAGAAGTTGGCCTTGTTTAACAGATTGTCCCAGCCAGTCTCAAAGGCGATTTCTACCCGGAACAGAATAGATATGAGACAGAGGAGAATGAACTCTCGCTATCAAACTCAGCCAGTCACGCTGGGAGAGGTAGCACAGGTGGGTACGCTATAGTATGATTGCAGTTTGTGTCGGTGTTCTTAAATCGTCGCACTGCCGTGTTCCTCTGAGGTTAATGATGTCATTAAGGTGTTCTTCCAGGAAACTGCTACCTGCAGGTGATGTGGTAATAACTTTCTTCCTCAAAACGATAACCCTACCAAGCATGTTTCTCTTTTCTTGTTTTCATACCTTGCTGAAATATCTAGAATGAGTCCATTTTGGAGAGAAAAAAAATAGTACCCACAACTGCCTTTTTTTTTTTTTTTTTTTTTTTTTTTTTTTTGAGACAGAGTTTCGCTCTTGTTACCCAGACTGGAGTGCAATGGCGCAATCTCGGCTCACCGCAACCTCCGCCTCCTGGGTTCAGGCACTTCTCCTGCCTCAGCCTCCTGAGTCGCTGGGATTACAGGCACGCGCCACCATGCCCAGCTAATTTTTTGTATTTCTAGTAGAGACGGGGTTTCACCATGTTGACCAGGATGGTCTCGATCTCTTGACCTTGTGATCCACCCGCCTCGGCCTCCCAAAGTGCTGGGATTACAGGCTTGAGCCACCGCGCCCGGCCCACAACTGCCTTTTACCCAGAGGATTTTGTTTAATGAGACGTGTTATGTAACTATGTCCAGGAGTGGTTTTCCTCTAAGAGAAACAGTGAAACTTCATCAAATCGAGTATTTCAGCTTCTGTCAATTCCTAAGCCAGGATTTTTATAGACGATATTTTACAAGCAGCTTCTTCCTTTTTAACTGTGTCCTTCCAGGTGCAGAGTGGAAAGCTTATTCCTTTCTCGCCTGCTGTGAACACATCGGTGTCTACAGTAGCATCCACGGTTGCCCCAATGTATGCTGGGGATCTTCGCACGAAGCCACCTCTTGATGACAATGCAAGTGCCACTGACTATAAGTTTTCTTCTTCAATGGAAAATTCAGACTCTCCAGTTAGAAGCATTCTAAAATCGCCAGCTTGGCAGCCCTTGGTAGAAAGTAGCGGGAACAAGGGAACGTTGAGAGAATGTGGAGAGACGGAAAGCAAGAGAGCTTCGACAGGTCGAGACAGCGGGATGGAGAAGTATGGGTCCTTTGAGGAAGAAGCATCCTACCCCATCCTGAACAGAGCCAGGGAAGGAGACAGCCATAAGGAACCTAAATACATCCCCAGGAAAGGAAGCCTGGAACGGGTGAATCCTCCCATCATTCACCTTGGGGATGAACCAAAGGAATTTTCCATGGCTAAAACAAGTGCACAAGGAAACTTGGACCTGAGAGACAGGCCGCCCTTTGAAGAGAAGGTAGAGGTGGAGAATGTTATGAAAAGGAAGTTTTCACTAAGAGGTAAATGACTAGTGCTCCTGAAGCTTTAGAAAGCAACTGGGTTTTAGTTTCTGCTTAATTTGTCCTGTGTGTCTGTGACTGCATTTAACAAAGTTCTAAAGGCAGTTTACAGCTAAATATTGGTTAAAAGTTCAGTGGGAATCAGGCCAGATGCAATTGGCTCATACCTGTAACCCCAGCACTTTGGGAGGCTAAGGTGGGTGGATCACGAGGCCAGGAGTTCGAGACCAGCCTGGCCAACATGCTGAAACCCCATCTCTACCAAAAATACAAAAAATTAGCCAGGCATGGTGGTGCATGCCTGTAGTCCCAGTTACTCTGGAGGCTGAGGCAGGAGAATGGCTTGAACCCAAGAGGTGGAAGTTGTGGTGAGCAGAGATCAAACCATTGCACTCCAGCCTGGGTGACAGAGCAAGACTCTGTCTCAAAAAAAAAAAAAAAAGTTCAATGGGAATTCTGTTCTCCCCTGGGTCTGACTAGAGAGTGCATCAAGTTTTCAGCAATAAAACTACCGGAAGCGCTTTCATGCATCTTGATAGGATTTCTGTTGACTTTGGTCACTCAGACAATGGCCTTCTGAGCTGCTTAGCTCTGCTGGCCGCTTTAGAAATTGATGACCCCAAAGATGTAGGCTGGGTAAGCACAAGGAATTAAGGAACGACTTGACCCCAGTCTCTGAATCGCTAGAGTGTTTCTTCCTGCACACGTGTTTTGCAGGCTAGCAAGCCCACTGAGTGGGCCTCTCACCATCTTTCTAAGTTTGCATGAACCAGGACAATGTCAGTTATAATAAAGGGTTTGGTTTGGGAGCACAGCACATTTGAATGCTGAAGTGTTGCTTTGGAGACTAGAACCGTTCTGGAGTGAATAGTTAAAGCTGACTTCCTGTGTCTCACACCAATTGCCACGAAGCATTTTGCTGTGTGGGGACCCTCTGGGAAGCGTGGTTTTCCCACAGAGCGCGCTGCAGATTTGCATAAATCCCAGCGGATTGGGTCACCCGCCGCGCGCCCACGGACTGAACTCCGAGAGCTGCGCTGCTGGGGGCGAATCGCTGGAAGGACGTTCCCGGAGCAGTTCCGTGCTGATGTCGCTCTTTTCCTTCCCAGCGGCGGAGTTCGGGGAGCCGGCTTCCGAGCAGACGGGGGCAGCTGCTGGGAAAACGGTGGCCCAGCCCGCAGCCCCCGCGTCCTGGAAGCCCCAGGATTCTCCGGAACAGCCACAGGAGAGGCTCTGCAGGAATCCCTGTGCGATGTTTGCTGCTGGAGAGATCAAGACGCCGACGGGGGAGGGCCTCTGCGACTCACCCAGCAAAACCATGTCTATTAAAGAAAGGTAATGAGACTCAGGGAGCGAGAAGTGAATCCCTCGGGGAGGAGCTCACAGCTGGCTTTTAGAAAGCGATCCGGGTGGGGGGCAGAGATGAAATCACACACTCAGCTTCTGACGGGCTGGGCTGTTACCCTGGAGGAATTCCGAGAAGCCGAGGTGTTTGCAAGTGAACTGCCTTTGCTCCTGAGCCTGGTTTGGTAATGAAGGCAGGGCGGGTTCCAGACTCAGATGAGAAGACAAGCAGAAACAGATTTCTGCTTTATTTGTATGTTTCCATTGTCCCAATGTCTTTTATAATATTAAAGTATTGGCTTATCTAGTGACAGAAGCTGAGATCTTGGCTCTTTCCCTTTTAGATACGCAGGGTTCATACTGAATGCACAAACCACTTGTGACGTTGTGTGAAATGTGTGTAGAGGGAATGAAGATAAATTGACATACAGGGCATACATCTTTGGGCTAGAATCCAACTTTTGTTTCCTTTACAGAAAGTAAAATGGATGACTTTTCTGAACTGAACTGCATTTAGAGATTTTATGTCAGGAAATAGCTTGAAAGATTCCGTTTGAGCATCAGATAACACAGTAATCTCATTTCTTGCAAAGAATGGCACAGGATGCAGAAGAACATAATTTAAATGAGACAGATACAGAGAATTGGAAGTAAATTACCTTGGGGATGTGTTTTCCTTGTTAACCTCTAACTATAGATGAACTAAGCAGCAAAACATGCAATAGTGGGAATAAATACAGAGTTCCATAGCAGAGTAGGGTGACTAGATAAAAATGTATTGGACTCAGGTGATAGACATCCTAAGTACAGACTTGATCGCTATGCATTACATATGTGTAACAAAATTTCTTATGCACCACACCACGTAATTTGTACAAAAAAGGAGAAAGTCTTCAATAGGGAAAAAAAAACATGATGAAATAGTGATAGGAAAACTGGGTGAAGAAAAGTCTTGTCAACTCCAGAGAATAATTAGGAGAAGCATTTCCACACCTGTTCCCGCAGTTCTGACAGCTTCCGCCCTTCCTCAGCAGCTGCCACCACACAGAAGCCTGCATGCCTTGTTAGGCACTGACCACGCTTATTTTTCTAGATATGTTTCAAACTGCCTAAGACTACACCAAACCACAATGAAAAGTCTTCTATTTTTTTCTTTCTTTTTCTTTTTCCTTTTTTTTTATTTTTTTTGAGGCAGAGTCTCTCTCTGTCACCCAGGCTGGAGTGCAGTGATGCAGTCTCTGCTCACTGCAACCTCCACCTCCTGGGTTCAAGGGATTCTCCTGCCTCAGCCTCCCGAGTAGCTGGAATGACAGATGCATGCCACCATGCCTGGCTAATTTTTTGCATTTTTAGTAGAGACAGGTTTTCACTGTGTTAGCCAGGATGATCTCCATCTCCTGACCTCGTGATCTACCCTCCTCGGCCTCCCAAAGTGCTGGGATTATAGGCGTGAGCCACCACACCCGGCCCCTTCTTTCTCTCTCTCTCTTTTTTTTTTTTTTCCAGAGGCATAGTCTTCCTCTGTTCCCCAGGCTAGACGGCAGTGGTGCTATCACAGCTCATTGCAGCCTCGAACTCCTGGGCTCAAGTGATCCTCCTGTCTTAGCCTCCCCAGCAGCTGGGACTACAGGCACGTACCACCATGCCTGGCTAATTTTTTCAAAAAGATTTTTTGTAGAGTTGGAAGGTCTCACCATGTTGCCCAGGCTGGTCTCGAACTCCTGGCCTCAAGTAGTTCTCCTACCTCAGCCTTCCAAGGTACAGGGATTACAGATGTGCACCACCATGCCTGGACCTTCTTTCTGGTTTTAAGCCGAGCTTCTTGAATATTATTTGTAAAATAATAGATGGCATTTTTTTCAACTGACAATAAGATTGTTAAATCTGAGTTCATGGTAAGTTAGACCTGGTAGGCTGAGGGGCAGAGGGAGGGACAGAGGGGTCAATGCAGTGAGGAGAGGGATGTCTTCAACCAGGGAAGCAGTTGGGCCCTATTGAAGTTTGAAGTTCTCTTCCATGAAAACAGGGCTCAAAGAGCATTTCATCCTAGAAATCCAAGTACTGATAACTAGTTAGGTGAGGAGGAGGAGAAATCATTTAAGGAAATTAACGATAAATATTAAGCACAAGTTCTGATGTTTTACACATGAGCAAATATCCCTGGGGTATTCCCCAGTGGGAAATACTCACATCATGCCCCTTTCCTTCAAAGGCTTTTAAAGGATCCTCCCCATGTTTGGGTATTTTCTGTCAGTGGGGACTTAGGACTTTTGATAGAGGAGCCCTGTGTCTGTCCACTAAGCCATAATTCTTGATGTACTTGCCTGTTTTTTGGTAAATTTTAGTTGATCTGTATCTTTCTGAAAGTTTTAATTCTACTGTAAAATTCCCATTTTTAAACTGAGACATGGGAAGCTGCAGCTTCTTAGCTTGGGCTTTGTGGACATCTAAGGCCTTCAAGGATGGCTGGAAAGCGTCTGTGACCAGCGTGGAAGCGTGTTGAGAATTGGATGTGTGAGCACGCACCTGCTGGCGGGCATAGGCCACAACTTACCATGGTCTCCAGGAGATCCCTGAGCCCGGTCTGTTCAGAATCATGGTAGAAAGGAATGCTTGATGGATATTCAGCTATTCAGTTTGTTAAAATACGTTTAAGAAAGGACGAGGGGGCCAGGCGCAGTGGCTCACGCCTGTAATCCCAGCACTTTGGGAAGCCGAAGTGGGCATATCACGAGGTCAAAAGATCGAGACCATCCTGGCCAACATGGTGAAACCCCATCTCTACTAAAAAATACAAAAATTAGCTGGGTGTGGTGGCGGGCACCTGTAGTCCCAGCTACTCAGGAGGCTGAGGCAGGAGAATTGCTTGAGCTCGGGAGGTGGAGGTTGCGGTGAGCCGAGATAGCACCCCTACACCCCAAAAAAAAAAAAAAAAAGAAAAGAAAGGACGAGGGACACTCTATTTAGCAGCTATGTCTGTAATAAATTACACTAACACAAAATACATTACCAGTGATCTTTTCCCCCTTACCTTGACAGCACTTTTATTTGTACTTTGCTGAAAATAACTAAATTACATATATTTAGAATTCATTCGTGGTAGCTTTGCCCTAAATGAGACTTTGATCCCTCACTTTTGTGACAGTGGAATAATGAAGCTTAGGCTAATTAAAATAAGAATGTTATTCCGTATTCCCGTATATATTTGTGCTTTACTTGCTTTCTTGAGAAAGAAGTATATGAAATCATAGGACTTCCAAACCTTATTCTAACTGCCTCTGACTGCCTCATTTTACCAAAGGAGGAATTTAGCTCCAGGAGTCTCCAGGACCACGTAGTGAATAGACCTGACCCAGGGGCCACATCTCCAACTCTCCCCTGGTTCATGGCGAGACCAGGGTGTGCTCAGATTAGTGTTAGGGCAGCCAACTTCGTGTCTTCTAACCAGGAGAATACAGTAAGGACAGAAATTCCAGCTAGACAGCAGTGTTAGAAAGACATGTCGTCTTTCTTCATGAATTTTCTCAGTTCACATGTTCCTAACACGGCTTATTTCAAATTACACATCCACGTTCACATTTCAGCATCTAAGAAATAGAGCCTGGGATTTACAGATTTCCTTTGTGTTTTTTATAAATGGCTGTGCCTGTGAAGGAGGGCAGGTCTGTCTTCAGCCTTGTTGTGTCAGTCTCTCCCCTGTCTGGGGCCTGAATACATTGGGTTCTTCATGCTCAGTGCTACCAGAGTCACAGACGGCCTGCATTTTGGGCATGATACCTCATTTAATTTTAATTTTAATTTTTTGAGACAGGGTCTCACTTTGTCACTCAGGCTGAAGTGCAGAGGCAGGACCTTGGCTCACTGCAACCTCCGCCTCCCAGGTTCAAGGGATTTTCCTGCCTCAGCCTCCTGAATAGCTGGGATTACAGGCGCCTACCACCATGCCCAGCTAATTTTTGTATTTTTAGTAGAGACAGGGTTTTGCTATGTTGGCCAGGCTGGTCTCGAACACCTGAACTCAGGTGATCTGCCTGTCTCAGCCTCCCAAAGTGCTGGGAGTAGGCGTGAGCCACTGTGCCCAACCTAAAAAGTTATTTATTTATTTATTTAAATTTATCACCTGACCTTAGGTGATCTTTCCACCTTGGCCTCCCAAAGCGCTGGGATTACAGGCGTGAACCACCGTACCCAACACTTTTAAAAAAAATCTTTTCTGACATTGAGAATGTCAAATTTGAACCGTAACCAGCATAACATTTAGGATGCAGTCGACTTTTCCCAGTGGATTAGGAAAATCGCTATTTTCTAACTGTCCACATAGTGTTTAAATTGTTTAAATTGTTTAATTTGTTTAAATTGTTTAATTTAAATTGTCCCTGTTTGGGAGCTTGTTTGAGAAGCATTGTGAATTAAATAATTCTTACGTTATTTAGGGATAAAACCTTTGCTATTGCTTAAAGCATACCTTAGGCCTTTAGAAATCTTATTTATTTCCACAACGTCAGAAACAGTGGCATCTGAGCTTTCATATTTGGGGAAGAAGACTATTGGAAAAGAAAAACAGAGCCAGCCTTCACTTTGAGAAACTGGTGGCGTGTAAGGACTTAGTGGAACTCCCTGAACTGCTGCAGAATCCACCTCGCCTCTGTGGAGTTCTGCCCTGGGGGACTGGCTGGAGGCTCCTGTTTCCTGCATGCCCGCCCTGCCCCCACCATCCACCTTCAGTGATCCTCCCACTTCAGCCCCCCAAGGAGCTGGGACTAGAGGGACACACACCATGCTCAGCTGACATTTTACTTTTACTTTTTTTTTTTTTGTGGAGACAGAATCTTGCTCTGTGGCCCAGGCTGGTCTCCACCTCCTGGCCTCAAGCAATCCTCCCACCTCAGCCTCCCAAGGTGCTGGGATTACAGGTGTGACCCAGTATGCCTGGACCTCCTTTTCCAGTGTTTGATTTTTCTCTCATTTAAAATACACTTTGGTTCATTCACTTCTCCAACTTGTGAACCAGCCAGGACCAAGATGTAATATAAATACTTATGTGTCCCTTTCCGCCCTATCTGAGATCTATGAGGTGCCTGTAATTCTCTAAAATGAAGGGAAAATTCTAAAAGAGAGAGAGAGAAAGCACACCTTATTTAGTATTAGGGGCACATGTCACGCCTCCTGTTTGACCCAGCCTGGACTGTTCTGAGCCTGAAGTCCTTGTTCCCAGCAAGTAGGGCTCTCAGGCCAGCATTCCCTGCGGAATTGTGTGGGCTGTGGAAGGGGAGCAGCCACTCCCTGGGTGGCCTGGCAGGCACCTGTCATGGCCCTGGGCCAGGCTTCGTTGACTAAGCCAGTGTCCTGCGTCTCCCTGGGTTCGTGCAGCCCCAGGCCAAGCCGCTGCCCAGGCTCCCAGCACCACAGTCCTGCAAACAGCACTTGGACTTGGCAATTGTGAAAAGCGCTGACAGTTGTTTGAATTGCACCGGCAGGAATTTATGTCCTGCATAGACCCAGACATCGGCTCCTCGACCCTCTCGGAGCCTAGCAGTCTGCGGTGAGTGGGAGCGCCGTGAGCTCACAGGAGGAAGGAACATGTTTTCCCAAGCATGTTCTCCCGCCCTCCTTAGCGTGGGGGACACCAATGAGGAAGGTTAAAGGGACAGGAAGAACACATTCAAGTTCTAGTGCGTGTTACCTTCAAGTTACTCATCATGCACTCGGAGGCTGTGGGCTCGGGCTGGCTGCAAGGGCCACGTGGGCTCCACAGAAGCTCAGTCTCTTCCACGTTATTCTGGTTACACTATAGTCTTCGGGAGTCCCTAATGGTGACCCTGCCGGCACTTGTAGAAGCAGAATTTCAGGGTTTGGAATGGAGGAATTCTTTGGCGGCCATCCATGGTGGGAAACACCTTCTAAGAAAGCCACAATCCTATGCACTTCCTAAAATGGTACGGCAAAAATGTGCCTGGTCAGCTAATGTGCTGCCACAGTGAAGCAGGCTAAGCACAGGCAGGCAAGGGTTGTGGTCACCTGTCTCTGCCCACTACCATCCAGTGTGACCTCAGTCAGTGGAATTCCTGACCCGGATGTGCTCATGCCCTTGTCCGTCAGAAATGGGAATAACAATTTCCAATACATCACAGGTCCCCATGCAGATCAGCAGAGTAAAAGGTGGATGAGGCGGTGCCCTCAGATGCCACAGCTCGTGTTTTTCTAAGTCAGTTTCAGATGCCGCAAAGCCACCACCAGGGAAACCATTGATGATGCAGGTGCTCGTGTCCTTGCCCCAGACTTCTGAGAACTTCTTTTTGAGAAGGTCTTCAAAGACTGGAGCTCGTGACTTTCAATAAACTCAACTCATGAAGATGAATTTGATTTTTTAAAAATTCATCATTTGAATCCAATCTGATTAACAAGGTGGGCGGTCAAGAGGAATAACTGCTGGTCTGGGTCGAAGGTGAAGTGAGTGAAGCTGGTTCTGAGGCCAGTTTGCAAGGAGCGTATCAGTGAGATGATACTGGCTCCACAAGACGATGAACTGGAAAGAATTCTTCACTTGGGGATTAAAGTGCTGGCATGCTTACTTTTTGAAAGTCTCATTTGTTGATGCTTTGAAAACTCAAACACAGCATGCAAATATGAATTTCTTTTAATGATTTTATTTTGTGAGATTCTTTTATTAGAATAAAACTGACTCATTCCAAATAATTGGAGAAAAGATGAGTCATAGTCATATATAGTATAAAATGATGCAGATTAAAACACTTACAGGAATCTAGATTTCATGTCCAAGCCCATGAACTAGCCCTTGTAGCATGCAGGGTGCTTTTAAACATTCGAGAATTACAGGAGTTAGGACCAAGTGAGACCTTGACCCACATGGGCTCTGCATGAAACTGATAAGGGAGCCTCACCACAGTTCTTGAGAATGCGCACTTGAGGTCTTACCTGCTGCCCCTTAGTAGAAGGAGGAAAACAGAAAGGAAAGGAGAAGAAGGAAGAGACTGAGGAAGGGGACAGGTCCAGAGCTCGAAGCTCCAGCCTCTTTGTTTTCATGGCTTACTCTCCGTTATTTGACTAAATTGAGTAAATAGACAAGTACTGGCATAATTGTGTATGCATATGTAGATGTCCCTGGATTCTTGTTTAAGCTCTACAAAATTTGTTTTCTTATTAGCATAACAAGACTTTTATCATAGGATATATCTCATCTCATTTCCGAAACAACTATTTAATGGGAATAGGGAAGCTTGGAAGAAGGGCCCTTAGAGATCATCTGGTCCAGTTCCTCGTGTGACAGATACGGGAGGGAGAACCGAGGTACTCAAAGGAGCTGGTGGCCAAACTGGGACCAGAGCTGATGTACTGCTTAAAAATACACTGTTTTCTAGGCATGGTGGATCACGCCTGTAATCCCAGTACTTTGGGAGGCCGAGGCAGGGGGTCGCTTGAGACCAGGAGTTCAAAACTAGCTTGGGCAGTATAGCAAGACCCTGTCTCTACCAAATAAAAATGTTTAAAATTAACCAGGCATAGTGATGCACACCTGCAGTCCTAGCTACTCTGGAGGCCGAGGCGGGAGAGTCACTTGAGCCCAGGAACTCGAGGCTGCAGTGAGCCATGATTGTGCCACTGCACTCCAGCCTGGTAACAAAGGAAGACCCTGACTCTAAAACAAATTTATAAAAATAAAAAATACAGTCCGGGCACGGTGGCTCACACCTGTAATCCTAGTACTTTGGGAGGCCGAGGCACGTGGATCACGAGGTCGGGAGTTCGAGATGAGCCTGGCCAATATGGCAAAACCATGTCTCTACTAAAAATAGAAAAAATAGCTGGGCATGGTAGCATGCGCCTGTAGTCCCAGCTAATTGGGAGGCTGAGGCAGGAGAATTGCTTGAACCCAGGAGGTGGAGGTTGCAGTAGGTGAAGATCATGCCACTGCACTCTAGCCTGGGCAACAGAGTGCGACTCTGTCTCAAAAATAAAAATAAAATAAAAAATACACATTTATGGATTATGCATTAGTGATATTTAGAAGACCTGGCCCATCAGGTCCAGCACAGAGGGAAAGGGCTCTAGACATTTGTTTTTTCACTCATCTTTAAATTGTTTGAGCATCCGCTCAAATCAATTTAATGATCACCCCTTTTTTTTTTTTTTTTACCTTTGATCTTTTCCATGTTTGTTTGTCCAATGCAAATACCTAAGATGTCTTCAATCAGTCAATACAGTTAGCCAAAACAGCCTCACGTTTGTGAAAAATAACCTTTCAGCAACCCAGTGTTCAAGCAGCTTCCTATCAAGTCGCATGTCATTGAACTAAAGTAGGTTAGGTAACAACCTCAGTTAATGAGATTCTTTTTTGGTGTATAGCATTCCCTGAGGAAAGTTAAAGTGATAATTTTTTTTAAATGGGTTTGTAGAAAATAGTTTCTGTCTATAGAAGACGGATAAGAAAGATAATATTCATTTATAGGAAAATTGAACATCAAATTTTGATGTTCATCAAAACATTTTTTGAACATCAGAAAATGAACACCAAAATTTACCTCTAATTGAAAGGGATGATATTAAGAGATGGTGGGTGCTTCACGGCGTCTGTTTTAAGCCCACGTCTTCATTGTTCTCTGTAACACAGCTTTAGCCCTTTAATGTTATTTCACCGAGTGACCAGAAGGCGTCGCTAGAAGACATTTTTCTCTGGGGTCGGTTCTCTCGCTCTCGGCCCCAAAACAAGGGAAAAAGACATTCCTTGGCTGGGATGATGGTGCATCTTTTATCTAGCAAGTCAGACTTCGGCTCTGTGTTTCAATCAGCCGTAAAATCTTCAGGGCCATCTTACAGAAGGGACTTTATTATTTTTCCAGACCTGCTGTCTTCAGAATACATGAAATTCAAAATGTTAAAATGAGGTGGCTGTGGTCATGTCTTGGCCAAAGGCTTCTCACTTGCTGAGATTATGGCTCTATCACAAGGAAGAGCTTGGTGCTGAACTCTCTGTGGCTGGCATGTTTCCCTCCTAGATTGGCACTGTTGAAGAAGAGCGGGGAGGAAGACTGGAGAAACAGACTCAGCAGGAGGCAGGAGAGCGGGAAGGCGCCGGCCAGCAGCCTGCACACCCAGGAAGCGGGGCGGTCCCTCATCAAGAAGGTAACGTTCCCCATATTAGGAAAGCATTGGAACTAACGTCACTCCTGGAAGTGCATCAGAGAGACACGCATGTGCCACCTAATTCCTGCTCTGTGAAGCATTTGTGCGTTTTTGCCCTTAGAATACACACTGAGGGTCTGTCACAGAGCACCTGAAACTGGGCAGGAGGCTGAGCCTTGAGATGCTTTAGAAGTGGGGTCAGCGACACATACACACGGTGTCAGTAAGCAACTGCCTGAAGGTTAAAGTGTGTACTTTTTCTTCACTTTAAAACCTTCTTCAATGAAGTCTGGCTTTAGAACGTTATTAAAGCCTTTATAATGACAAAAATGGAATTCACCACTAATATCTTTAAGTTGCATGTAAAATATGGACTTGGGTTTCCTATGCAGAGATTTTTAAACCTAAGTATAAAAAGTAAGGACATAATTGTGGTTCATGGGTATTTAGTTCATCATTTGAAGCGTGTTTCATGAGTAGCTACGCCTTTTATTGAGAATGTACAGTACTGTATGTTATAAATTGGAACAAAATTAAGTCATGCGTGGTGATCCATGCTAGCAAGCCTTTCGTATGCGTAAGTATTGGTGAGCTGTTAAATCACAGATGTGATCATGACCAGCTTTTGACAGGCAGTGTGCACTTTCGTAACTGACGGTGCTTACTTGTTGGCTGGCCCTACAGCTGCAAATGCCCCTCCTGGCTGGAGGCGAAACGGTGCACCCGTGACGCGCTCCCTGGCCACTTTCTAGGCCCAGAAGTCTTCAAGTAGAAAAGAAAGAGTGCTTTCAGCCAGCTGATCCCCAGGCCCCTGTTAGCTCGAAAATAAGTTAAACTTCTGTGGAAGGACGAGGTGATGAGCGTGACTTTCATGCATTAAGAAACTGACATGCAAATGAGGTGTGCACATAAAGTGTGAGTCAGGAGTTCTGGCGCTATTTCCTCTGATACTTCTGTGTCTTCATAGGCTACATTGGAATGGCAATTTGAATTCTCTTCTTTGAGACATACATGGTGTTAAAGATGATATAACTAAAGACATTTAACCTCAGCCATTTGTAAAGTTCTCAAATACAACTAGAAAGTATGTGCATATTTTCCACCCACCATGTGAAACTCACATTTCCAAAAGGAGATCCTGAAGTGAAAGAAAACTGCATCTGTGAAATAATGTATCCCCACCCCCCACAAACTTTATTTAAAAGAGTCTTGAAATCATTGCTTCAAAAACGACTTTAACACATTCCCCATAAGCAAACCTGCCGTTCCCCATAAGCAAACCTGCCGACTACTATGTCCTGGCACTAAGCAGCACCTGGCCCCGGGGCCATCATTTTGGAAGGTGCAGAGACTCCCCCATTCGTCAAGAGCTGGGAGTCCCAGAGAGCCAGGTGGAAATTTAAATGAAGCCAAAAAGCACAAAGCAGGAGAGGTTCCTGGTAAATAGGAACAGACTATTCACCTATTCAGACTATTCAAATGGGTGCACTATCCACTTAGAAGAACGGAGGGTCACCTTAGGTGTGGAAGCCAGAACTCCCACTCTTCCTCAGTGGCCTGGTTGCCTTGGCTGGAGACAACGAGCTCTTTGAAGTTAAAATAAGGTCTATTTGAGGCCTCTGTAGCCCACACTGGGCAATCTCAGGTTCTGCTGAGGTCAGGTGTTTCTCAGGCGGCCTCTGGCAACCCCTAGTTCGTTCCTTCCCGAGGGCTGGCAGTGTTTTCAGTCCCCCACTGGCTGTGCTCAAATGTGGTCGGTGAGGCGCCTTCAACCTGGTCTGTCTTAAGGGAGTCCCCACATAGCTGAGAGGCTGCCCTGCCCACTGCTTGCGGGTGTCTGAGTGCTGCCTTGGAGAAGGACAGACAGTCATGTCACGCGGGGCCTGAACATGGGCGCTTGCTGCAGGGAGTAGCTCTTGCCTTGCTGATGGAGAGGCACCCAGGAGAGCAGGTGCTGGAACCTTCCATCTTCAGCACCAAGGGCAGAAAGGAGCCAGCGTATGGTCAGCTCGGCACGCCCTTCACGGTTGCTGTGTTCCTGTTGTGTGCTGAGAGCCTGCTGCCGTGAGTGTGCGGTGTGTGGAAACGCAGAAGGGGCAGGAAAGAGGGGACTCCACACGTTCCTTCCATTGCACCCATGAGAATACATGCAGGGTGGCAGTCAGTGCTGTCCTATAAAAATAGAATGTGTGCCACATAGGTCATTTTGAAATTTTCTCAGTGTCACATTAAAAAATACATTAAAGGCTGGGCATGGTGGCTCATGCCTATAATCCCAGCACTTTGGGAGGCCGAGGCAAGGGGATCACGGGGTCAGGAGATCGAGACCATCCTGCCTAACATGGTGAAACTCTATCTCTACTAAAAATACAAAGATTAGCTGGACGTGGTGGCAGGCACCTGTAATCCCAGCTACTCGGGAGGCTGAGGCAGGAGAATCGCTTGAACCCCGGTGGCGGAAGTTGCATTGAGCCGAGATCGTGCCACTGCGCTGCAGCCTAGGGACAGAGAGAGACTCCGTCTCAAAAAAAATAATACATTATAGGATGCCTTGAAAAATCTATACCTGTTTTGTCTCTGTCAGTGGATTAGTCTCAAAAGAAAACATTTGAGGTGCCCATACCAGCATCTCATTTTCGGTCTTTTGTGTAAAGATTTACTTTGGGGCCAAGCACAGTGGCCATGCCTGGAATCCCAACAACTGGGAGGCAGAGGTAAGAGGATCGCTCAATCCCAGGAGTTCGAGACCAGCCTGGGGAACATGGTAAAACCCCATGTTTACCCTGCAAAAATTAGCCAGGTGTGCACATGTGGTCCCAGCCACTTGGGAGGCTGATACAGGAGGATGGCTTGAGCCCCAGAAGTTGAGGCTGCAGTGAGCAGTATTTGTGTCACTACACCCCAGTCCGGGTGACAAAGCAAGACCCTGTCTCAAACAAAAACAAAATTCGGGGCCTGTGAGTAGATATTAAGCTAGAGTTTTCATTTCTGTACTAAAAGTTCCCGCACATCTCAGGAAATGGAAGACTCACCAGCGATTCCTTCTTTTCCCCATTTCACTCCCAAAAATGAAGACTGATGATCTAGAGCTAAAGAGCACTGATTGTTACCTGGCTGTCTCTGTCGTTTCCTATGAAAAACTGTGGGTATTCTCCTTCTCTCCCCCACTTTTCTTTCTTTCTCTTCCTTGCGTCCCTTCGTATCTTTCTCCTGTTCTTGGTTTAGCCTGGCCCAGGCTAACCTGACTGAAACGTGGGTTCCTCTCACAGCGTATTATACTTAGTCTAAAGGTGTTCGGCTGTTTGGCTTGTGGATTTGGCCTGGTCTGCACCGTGTGGTTTGTGTGCACTTGAGCATGGCTTATGTACGGTTTCCTCCAGAGCCACCCATTCCACCAGAGAGAGAGAAATGAAACGAAGCAAAGTCTCAAGGAAGTGGCTGGGCAGGAGTCTCTGTTGCAATTAGCTTCAGTTATGTATTTATTTTCACCAAATAATTATTTTCCATTTCTGCTTATTCCGCATTAAGACATACACGGTGACTCCTGTCTGTTGTGAAGGTAGCCATCCAGCAAATCAGACCTTTTCCAAGAAGCGAAAACCCTTCCTAGACTTGTGCGTTAAAAGCCTGTGTCTGTTTCTGAGCTCCAGGTGGGAACTGGATGTCCGACTGTGCTTCAGGAGCTGTGAGGTTGGTGTCTCCAGCTCAGATCTAACAGCCCCAGAGCAAGTGCCGGAAATTTCAAGAAAAGTGAATCTGGCACATCCATATTCTCAGTATCTGCTGTCATTGAAATTCCAGATCACAATCCAGGAGAATTTAGAGAATGAAGTCACTTTAGAGGCTGGGAGGGAGAGAAAGGCTGAGGGAGCTCCAGATGGTGATTCTGCGGTGAGGGAATGAGGTGGCCTGAGGTTCAGTCACCGCCTGGTGTGCGCACGTGCATGCTGCCCTTGAGCCCGGCACGAAGTCCTTCCCGGTGATTGCGACGCCCTGACAAGGCTCTTCCCTTCCAACACCCCGCAACGTTTCCTGTTTGTTTCAACCTGTAGGAAGAAGGAGGAGTTGCAGATGATAGTGCCATTTCTAACCTGCTTTGGGTAAGCCTGACTCTAACACAGGTGTCCTCTAGATGGTGGCTGGAGTCACACGTCGCGTGGGTGATTCTCATCCTGGGTGCTCCTTCGGGCGCCCTCCCTGTGCTCTATCTCCAGACCAGACGCAGCTTTGTCTGCAGTGGAGAGCTGAGCCCACGCCCTTAAATTATTTTTTTGATCATGTAACGAAAATACTTTAAAGAAGGTGATATTTTCTGTTAAATGTTAAAACTGTCAATGAAAGTCATCGTTCCCTCTCTGCAACTGACAATCGTCTATAAATTAACTCATTTAATTACTGCACAAAGCTGACTCAGGTGCAGTTACCTCGAGTG